CTAACTAACTAAAATAAATTACCTAAAATTTGAAACCAGAGTATAGAGTATAATGGATTCAAGAGTGAGGAAGCAGGAAGCAAAAGATTCTGTATTTTTTTGTATTATACACTTGTGGAATTGTTTATTTAGTTTTTCATTTTAAGTATCTGATATATTAAGACAGGATACATTAAGCAAGACAGAGAGATGCTGATATAAAGATTACATTAATCAAGTTACTTTAATCAAAACAGGGAGATACTGGCTTAATGAGTAAAAATAGATTAATGGAATAGAAATAAATTCCCAGAAATAAATTCTGACACATGCAGTCAATTGACTTTCAAAAAGGGTTTTGAGAAAATCCAATGGTAGAAGAAATAGTATTTTCAACAGATGATGCTGGGACAACTGGATATTCATATGTAAGAGAATGAAGTCACATCATATACAAAAACAAATGCAAAATGGATATCTAAATGTAAGAGCTAAACCTAAAAACAGTTAGAAGAAAATACAGATATAAGTCTTCACGACCATAACATAGGCAGTGATTTGTTAGCTTTGATGCCAAAGTACAAGGAACAAAGAAAACATTGATACATAGACTTCATCAAAATTATAACTATTTGTGCTTCAAAGGGCACTATCAAAAGCATGAAAAGACAACCCACAAAATGGGAGAAAATATTTGCCAATCATATATCTGTAAGGGATTTGAATATAGAATATGCTTCATTCTGGTTGTGTGATCTTAGGCAGCTCATTTTCCCTTGTTGGACCTTTGTTTACTCCTTGAGATAAGAAAGTTGGAATAACTGATAATAGAAAGTAGCACTTGAATAGAACTTTATGGTTTATAAAACGTGTTCTTACTTATTGATTATCTTATTTAATCTTCATTACAACTCTGTTATGAAGGCATTACTAGTATTCCAACCTTACAAATAAAGAAGTTTCTATTGTGACATTGCTTTTATGTCGTGGACTTTTTCCTGTGCTTCACTTTGTAAGACTGCTTTCCCCTCCCCAGACCCCTGACATTCTATGATGATTCCATGGTAGACTGAGGTTGAGCACCATGCCACCTGAACATTGTCATACTTCACTTTCCTTTGTTTCTTGTGAAGATTTGCTAAGCCACCTGTTGTGTCATCCACCCTGTCTGCTGACCCACAGCACACTCAGGACATCGCAACCCTTCCTTTAGGAAATAGTTGCCAGTTACTGAACTGGGCAACGAGTCTGAGTAACCAACACAAGAAAGATTCGATCCAACTTCACTCTTCTCCCATGTGATTTCAGGCGACTGCATGATGACTCACTTTGGAGGATAAATGCAAATAGTCCTTGATCACTCCTCCTGCCTCTGCTAATACTGTGCTCTTCCAGAAAAAGAACAAAGACAAAAAAGGGGGAGGAGAAGGAGGAGGAAGAAGCAACACATCTTATTTCCAGTAATTTCCTGAAAGCAGAAATTCAAACCTAAAGCAACATTTGTATTTCTGGAATGATGTGGAACACTGGACTGACCTCTCAGGTTTGACTCAGGCTCCTCCCAAGGCCCTGCCCCTGGCCCTCACTGAAGGGATGCCCCCAAATGAGCCAGTGGTGGAAAGGAAACACAGAAAGATCTGCAGATGGTGATGCAAAGGCCCAGAGATATGAATGATCTGTACCAGGTCACACAGCTAGATGAAAACATCAGGATTAGGCCTAAAACATTAGGATTAGGTGTACTGCTGGCTTTATCCTCCTATCACTTATGACCAATGATCATTCCTCTCTGAAGACCCTCAAGACAGTAAGTATGGAGAGTGCTGTGTTCCAAAGCTACCTCATTCCAATCCTCCCTTGTTCCAGAAACAGTTTTTCTCCTACAGACAAGACTGTAGGGATGAGCTGTGTAACAGGGGCTCCAGTGTGCTGCCCATGAAGCTCAACCTGTGTGGGGAGAACTAACAGGTTTGTTACAGACCACAGAGGGACTTGGCCACATCCTATCCAGGGACATCCCGGAATGCTAGGTGGAAGGACTGCATTGCCCTTTCTTTCGTGTCAGCCTCAGAGGACAGACTTATTCCTGCGTTACAGATCTGCCTCCAGGAATAGAGTCAATTCGATTTGGGCTATATCCGGGAGTAATGAATTCTGTAAGTAAGACAAGACAGTGGGGTATAATATCCCTTAATATTAACTCTCATCTTAGCTCTCCAGTGCTTTTGGAGTGGCCCTTTGTGGGAGTGTTCTAAGACCTGATCACCACGACTGGGAATTACTTTAATATTTTAGCTATTTTAATCACATCCCCTCAGATTGGGGTCTCTCCCTATAAGAATTTCCCTGTCTCTCTCTACATCACTCTCCTTGCCACTGATTCATCAGCTCCTGTGCCTCCTCTGCATTTTCTCCACCTCCAGTCACTGCCTTAATTTGTGGTGCTGTGGATTTCACCCAGTTTTGTACTTTGGAAACAGAATATCTTCTGGTTTGTTTCTAATGCTCCCTCTGAGAATGCCCAGTATTTCTCTCTCTGGCCTATTGAACACAATGTCTTATCAGTCCTACTGTCTTCTCTGCTGGATCATAATTGATAATTTAGAGCCTATCATCTTTTTTAAAAAAATTTTTGTTTTGATTTATTTATTCATGAGAGACGCAGAGAAAGGCAGAGACACAGGCAGAGGGAGAAGCAGGCCCCCTGCAGGGAGCCTTATTCGGGACTCCATCCCACGACCCTGGGATTATGCCCTGAGCCAAAGGCAGATGCCTAATCACTGAGCCACCCAGGTGTCCCCAGAGCCTATCATCTTATAAATATGTTTATGGCCTCCTCAACTCTTCTCTTTCCAAAGGGGAAAATGCATTTCTTTAACTTTTCCACAGGGGAGGTCATCTGACATTTTATGCTACATAAAAAAAAACAAAAAACAAAAAACAAAAAACAAAAACAACAACAAAAAAACCCCAACAATTTATTGTGGCTCATTTTCACTGGATTGATACTTTCACTTTTCGAAGAACTTAGTGTCACCTGTGAATGTGGGAAGTTTTTAACACATTCTTCTCTTCATATCATTTATAAAATCATCAATAAAAACTAATCTCATTTTCTATTTTTATGGGATTCTCCTTTTAATGCTTTTCCATACCTAGACTATGTTTATGATCTATTTGTGAACTAAAATTTAAAAAATATTCCTGACTTACTTTGTAGTATGTAGTGTTAACTTTTCTATAATAAATTATAATTATACATTATACCCATTGTTTTCCTCCAAATATATGTTTTATACTGCTTAAACAGTGTTAACTGGCAAATCAGGGATGAGTTACTCTTTTAAAAATTCTTCCTATTTTTTAAAATGTGTTAACAATTTTTGCAACAAGCCATTCTTTATTATAAATTCTCCCCCTGTAAGAGTAAGCAGTGTACCATTATCAGTACCCCTGACTCCTTGTCATCCTACCTTACCTCACTCCCACTCTTGTATGGGATCCAGTGGCCATTCACTCAGTCTACATTTGTAGTTATAGCTTGCATATTTTGACAAAGGATTTTCTAATTTTACCCCTGGGTTCTTCAAATTCTGAGAAAAATATCATCTTGGCTAAATGACAGCCTAAACACAACTGGTTTTGAAAATCAAGTAAGCCTTGTTAATGTTAACCCTCTAGAAACATATCCATAAATGAGATATCCATTGTCTGAGTGATAAGGATTCATTGAGGTTCAGCTTGAAAGTGTTCCGGTGATTTGATACTTGCACTGAGCCCACCAAAATTCTGCAAAGTAGTGCAATGATCAAAGCCAGATAGCACTCCAGGGTAAAGTTTGAACGTCTCAATCTGATATCCAGATATCCCCACAACCTGCAATTGCAGGTCTTTCCATTCCTACCTCTGCCTCCATCTCCACCATTATTCTCCATCCAGACCATAAGCATCCCTGCCTCTTCGTTCTTGAACATACAGTGTATCCTCACTTGCAGTATTGATCGTATTTATGCCATGTATATCCTGATTGCTCAAGTAGATGAGTGGTTAAAAGTGGGTGCCATGTCTCCCATCTCTTTGAAACCCCATATTTAATAAATGTTCCAAAAAGGTAATAAAATGTCAAAATATTGGAGTACCTATATATTTGCCCGCATATTCTCTTTTGCTATGAGAGAGCATTTAATCGACCGTGTCTGAATCAGGTATAATTTATTCACTAACAAGTGAGAACAATTCCTCATCATAATCCCCGTATTAGGGAATCCACTATGGAGAGGGATTTCAGAGTGGTTGCTTTCAACTTCCTTCAATAAAATCTTGGAGTTAATAATTTTTTTTCTGTCCTTCTCCATTTATTTCTAAGAGTCACAGAGGTTTAGGAAAGTATAAACCCAGCCCTCCTTTTGCAGAGGGCACAATCACTTTAACAGCTATAGGTTTAGCCACAGAAAAACTACTCAGCTTATAAAAACCAGGCAAACAATTTCCCAAATTGGCAATCTGGCAGCAAGATAATATTGAGGATACTTTCTCAGCTCAGCTGAGAAAACTCAGGAAGGACCACACGGAGGAACAGAGAACAAAAGCTTTATGGTCTGTTGGGAGTGTGCCAAAGAAAATCAGACAACAGATGAAACGAGGTTTGTCAGTCACCCCACTGGTTTCAGGGTCACATTGTGCTCACTGCTGTTTCCATGGAATGAGTCACTCCTTGAAGAACCCACCAGCTCAAGTTTAATCAGCCTTACAACAGCCTCAGAAAAGTATCAATATCTCCTATAAAAGATGGGCACCAGAGGCAGCAAAGCTTAGAGGAAGAGCTATACACAGGTAAGGAGAGAATAAGGAATGGTATTTATGGGAAGGGAGGAAAGGAGATACTCAGGGGAAAGAGAAGTGAAACCCATTGAGCGGCCCATAGTGATTTAGTGATCAGGGAAAGAGGTGGTCACTTTGGTCACTGAAGTTCAAGGCTCATGGATCCACATGTGACAAGGCTCAGAGACCACCTTCTCCTACTACTCCTCACTGCCAGGCTCCTCATCGCTGTCCTCCCTCAGTGGAAATTTCCTTTTGGGCTTCTGAGTTGCGTACATCCGAGTCTCCATGACGCTGTCCTGGCTCAGAATTGCCTGAAGCAAGATGCAGGAAGAGAAATTACTGCGTATCTTTTACAGGATACTGCGTATCCCTGTTCCCTTTCCTTGCTAGCTCATCCAAGTCTAGTGTTGCTCAGGAAAGATTCAAGAAACAAGCATAGGATTCTTTTTCTGCTTCATGTACAGGCACAGGCCTCCCAAGGCACCTGGGTGTAGCAATCCTAGTCAACACAGATATCTGGTATATCCTTAATTAAATCCTAACAGTGGTAGTACAAGTTATAGCAGGGAGCCGTCAGAAACTGGTACCATCCCTGTGGTACCAGCCCCTATGTCCATTGCTAAGCTACCCAAACCATTTAGGGTGCTCATGCTACAATAAAAGGAAAGTATCTTATTAAGTAAAATCACATGTTATGGTTCTCTTCCCTGGGATTTTACACTTAAATGATGACCTGGTAAGGATAATGGAAAAGAATGAATGAATGAATGAATGAATGAGCCCAGTAGAACTTTGCCTACCTTGGGGAGATAATTTGTTAACTCACATTTTGCTGGTAACTAAAATATGGCCCCTCCCCCCAACTCTTTATAAGCTTCTCATTTTTTCCCCCTTATTTAGGGCCCTTCTTAACCACCCAGTATAAGAAGTGGAGTCATTATGTAGAAAAGGTAAAACAAGGAAGAGCACAAATGAAAAATAAAGGTGAAAATTGGATCAGAGAATTTGGTAAAGGAAAAAGACATCCAAAGAGAGGAAATAGCATACAATGAAAAGCAATGAGAAAGAGATGAAAAAACAAACAAACAGATAGATTATTATTCTTTTAAATGATCAGAGCCCCTTACAAGATTTTCCTTCTTAGCTGGGGGGCTTCTCAGGTAGTAGCAGAGAGGAGCATAGATGATGTTGATGACACCAATGATGACCATAAGCCAGGGGAAGCCAATGGCATGCACAATGGCACCCCCAGTTGATGGGCCTGTGAGGAAAAAAACCAAATTCACAATATTTATTTACCCATGATCACACAGAAAACACCATGCAAGGGGCAATGGGTGACACAAAGGATGTCCCAAAGTCAAATATCTTCAGAACCTTGGGAGAATCAGCCTCCTGGGTTTACTTCCAGCTGGTAAACAGTGGATAAGAGAAAATGGGACACCAGGTCCTGGGTGCTCTCTCCCCTGCCAACATACCTATAGCAAAGCCCATACAAAAAGCCACATCAGCTATGGCATAGACACTCCCATATACTGAGGTGTGACGCAGATCCACCAAGTGTCCCATGATGGGCATCACAGAAGAATCAACCATGCCTGTGGCCAAAGGAAACAGAACACTGTCAGCTCTACCACCAGTCCCTTCCCTTTTTGTGGCACCCTTCCTTCCTCTCCTCCCTTTAGTCTATTCCCTTTGCCTGCTATCCTCCCATTCAGCACTAACACCTATTCCTGGTAAGAGTTAGGAGCCCACCCCTTTGTCAGCCACCCTCTTCCTCCTTCTGCCTTTCCATATACCTCTTATGATCTGACCCAAAGCCAAAATTCAGGGGCTTGTTGTCGCCTTTTTTTTTTAAGATTTTATTTATTTATTCATGAGAGAAAGAGAGAGAGGCAGAGACACAGGCAGACAGAGAAGCAGGCTGCATGCAAGAAGCCTGATGTGGGGCTTGAACCTGGGAATCCAGGATCACACCTTGAGCCAAAGGCAGGCGCTCAACCGCTGAGCTACCAAGGCATCCCTTCTTGTCTCCTTTAAAAGTACTCTTACCTATAGAAAAGCCAAGCCCTGCATTGGGGCCAATGAGACCAAATATATTGTGAGCCAGAGGAACCTGCAGCAGGAAAGGAGGAAGAGTTCATTAGGAGTCCAACTGAGTCACCACAAAAACAAAGGGTTTTCACATGATATGCAATTATCAACCATGTGCTATATATCACACGTTTTATCTATCTGGATTCTCACATATCCTCATGAAGAAGAATCCTTGAGCACTGGATGTCATACTATATGTTGGCAAATTGAATTTAAATTAAAAAAAATGTAAAAAAAAAAAAGAAAGGCTATAAAAACCCGTTACTTCTATTTTAAAGATATGAAAGCTAGATTGATGCCATTTGGGTTAAATGCCCTATCCAAAGTTAAAAAGCTAGTAAGTGGCAAGATGAAGTGTAAATCTCAGATTTGACTCCATTATATATATTAATGGTCCTTTCCTATTGCATGAATTCTTCTTCCCCTTCCTTAACCTGCCTCCCAGACACACTCTGTCCTCACTCTTCCCTGAATGGAGTTTCCTCTCTTTTCAACTAGCAACGTTCAAAGGTTTTAGTTAAATCCTAATTTGGTAGCTACTGGAGCAAAAAGACAAAAGACACCAACAACCATTAACCTATAGTCTAGAGGGGCAAGTGGCATGTCTTAGGGTGCTGCATCAGCAAGCTTGTGAAACTCGTTCTTTTGCCTTCCCAATCCTCCACTGAAAGACTTCCTTTCCTCTCTTGTGGATTCCTTACATGCCTCCCTGAGTACCTGTTACCTAAACCTGCTACCCGAACACATTTACTCCTCAGAGGCTAGAGGTTAGTGGTTAATAATTTTAGGGATTATTCCCCAAAAGGTAATTATATTTTAGTAATAGTTTGGGTTAGGATTTACAGTGGGCTTACTGTGTGCCAGACATTGCTGCAGTTTATATGGACAACCCTATGAGAGGCTATCAGAACCCTCTCTACACAGATGAAGATGCTAAACAAAAGGAGGTGATAGATCTAGCTCAAAATCACACAGGCAGCAAGTGGTAGGTAAAGCTGGGAGTCAATGTGGAACTCATGCTCCTGATCAAGACCTCCCGCCTTTCTTGAACACTGTACTCAGTGCTTTACAGCTCTAGTCTTATCACCTTTAAGCCTAGGAGGTAAGGTGCTTATGGTCCCATTATGGGGAGGAGAAATGAAGGCTTAGAGAGCTGAAAGGGGGTTATTGAATATAGGAAAGGACTTCTTTTTTTCTTTTTCTATGAAATATTCTGGCATTGGAGACTACCTCTCAGATGATGGTTCCCCTGGTGGCTTATGGGGTCCTGTCAGGGTGGGATAAGAAAATTATGTCATAAACAAATTTGATAGCTTCATAAATATATATCAACATGAATTGTTTCATGTGCCCATACATAGGGCTTCATACCTCTGTCTATAGCTGCTTCATTGCCCTTTCCTCCTTCCCCACCTTTTTTAATGGGATGCCTAGTGGCATCTCTCCCAGAGCTAAATTCTTACCTATGCAGAAGGTTTTTCTAACAGTCATTCATTGCCAGGTTAACCTTCTGTTCATTTTCAAGGAAAATGGTCCTTAAATGTTTGAGTCTCTCTCCCCCCCTCCCTCCCTCTCTTTCTCTCTCTCTCTCACCTAGACCTTGTTATACTTACACAAAGCAAGCTGGTGCCTACTACCATCATCCCAATCAGGGAGCACAGCCACCTGGAAGAAAAGAGCCATCAGCAAATAGTGCTAAAGGGAGACATCCCTTTCACCTGCCACCCCATCTCTACCACACTAGCCAGTGCTACCACCCCTAATTCCAGGAACCCCTTAGGATGGGAGAGATGAAGACATCTTTGCATGATCTGTTTGTAACCAGGTGAGCCCTTCCCTTGCCCTCCTCCTTGCCTGTCTCCATATCACTTTCCATAGTAGAAGCAGAGGAAGTACAGTGGGACATATTCTTTCTTCCTCTAGCAAAGGAATCAGCTTGCTCAGAAGATACTTGCCCCTTGGAAGTAACCCTCAAACTTAATTCATGCTGTTTCCCAATTCAGACTATCTCTCACCTATTCATATTTTATCTGGTCTACGAAGTGCATCTCAAACCCACAAAAAAAAATACCAAACTTTTTCCTTTTCTTATTTCCTATTACAAGGTTTTTAAACTTATTTTAAAAATCTGTATGCTGAGCTTCAAAGATAAAATTGAGGCTGTTCTCACTGCAGTAGAACAGAATCCAGACTCATACCTTTTAGCCCTCAACCCTTTGCACTTGGTGGCCTCTGATAAACCTCTTTAGAACTCTCTAGGGCTCCAGGGAGCACAGTTTCACGACACTGCCTCCAAAGTACTGAGCTTTTTCATAGCTATTCTCTGTGGGGTTATTTTAGCTCTTCAACTAGATAACAAATATTGAAAAGTAAAGGTTATCCCTCATATATTCACAACCAGCTCAGGGCTATCCTTTGTCCATATCATCCTTAACACCTACCCACTGCTATCCTCCCTTGTAGTCAGCTTTTATCCATGTGTTCTAAAGTTTCAACCTCAGAGAAGCTGTTCATTATGCTAGATGGAGAACAATTTCAAAAGCCTCTCCCATCTTACATTCCTATTACTATCCACAGATTCTCAGGCTACATACCGACCCATCTTGTTGGCCAATACACCAAAGATGTTGGTGCCTATGAGGTAGGACACACTGGCGGGCAAGAAAGCTAGACCTGTAGAAAGACACAGTCCTAAGATGAGGACATGCCAAGTTTACTATAAAACACCTTATTTACTACAATACAGTGAAGTCAGGGCACCTGGGTGGCTCAGTTCATTAAGCATCTGCCTTGGGTTAAGGTCATGAACCCTGGGTCCTAGGATTGAGCCCTGCATCAAGCTCCTTGCTCATTGGGGAATCTGCTTCTCCCTCTCCTTCTGCCTGCCACTCCCTCTGCTTGTACTTTCTCTATCAAATAAATAAATAAAATCTAAAAAAAAAAAAGATAGTGAAGTCTCTCTGTCACCTTCAAGGATTCCAAACCACTTTGTTTTAGGTGTTGGAGGTCCTTGTGCAACCCAGAACAGTTGGCATAGGGCTCTACACTTCCATTTTCCTCAGACGCAGGGCTTTGTTTAGCTTCAATATGATGTACTCCCAGCTCTCTACTTAGACTTCCTAAAGAATGACCCTAATGAGCCATTCTCATGTATAAAATCATTATGATTATCAGCATAAGAATATTACCAGTCTTACAGAAAGAAATACATATTTCCTGGGGCGGGGGGAGTGAAATTCCTGCCTTGCTATTCACCCTTCTTTCTATTGCCCTGGTAATGATCTTGAAGAAGTTACTAAATCTTTCTGAGTTTTAATATCCATATCTGACAAACAACAAAGCTATAATTCTATCATACCAATTTACATTGAGGAGGAAATTGAATAGCGTTCATAAAAGTATTTTATAAATTGAAGCACTGGTCACATTGCTTTTTCTAAAGCAAAGGCTTTGAAGACACACAGTTCTGGATCAAACTGTGGCGTGGCTACTTTTTAGCTCTGACTTTGGGTAACTTACTTTTTCTGAGTCTCATTCATTCATTCAGTATTTTTAATGAGCTTTTACTATGTGCTAGGTGTGCTGGGGTAAATAAACTAGACAAAAATCTTAGCTTTCGGGGAGTTTACATTCCAAGGGAGGGAGCCAGACAATAAATAAGTAAACAGATGAAGGAAAAAGATAATTTTGACAAATGATGAGTTCTGTGAAAAAAAAATTAATGTTGTATCACAGAAGTATGACCAGGAATAGAACTAACTTCCATTCAGGGGCCAGGTAAGGCTTTTTTGAAAAGATGGCATTTCAACTGAGATCTGAATAACCAAAACAAAGCATTCCAAGCAGAAACAAACAAAAACATCTAATGCAAATACAAAGACCTTAAAGAACCAACTATTTGTCTGTTATAGGAATAGAAAGAAAGTCTGTGTAGCTGAAGCACAATGAACAAAGTGAAAAGTAATGGAAAGCGTAGGCCTGGAATTTATAATTTGTAATTTATTCCAAGTGCAATGGAAAACTTTGGAGAGGAATATCATATTTTAATTTATATATTTTTAAAGTCTTCTGGTTGTGGTTAGATGAAGGGTTCACAGGACAAGAGTAGAAGCCAGAAGACTATTTGCAGAAGCCAGGAAGAAATGTTTCATCTTAGAAGTCATGATGGAAAGAAGTAAATAAAGTAAAAGGTATTATTATGGTGGTAGAGTCAGTGGGATTTTCTGTTGAATTGGGTATGGGTATAGTGGGAATGACACAAGGAGAGAAAACAAGTATTACTCATTTTTTTCTTAACTGGGTGACTGGAGATGGAGGAAGAGCTTGGGGAAAACATGAAATGCATATTAGATATCCAATTGGAGATGTCAGGCAGTGAGTGTACAAGTCTAGACTTCCAAGGACAGATCCTAAGCACAGATACAAATAATTGACTATTGGTTTATATATGGTTCTTAAAGCCATAAGAAGAGCTGGGGTCACCTCTGAAAGATCAGAGAAAGAAGAATAGAGATCCAAGTTGTGAGCCTTCAGGAATTCCTACCTTTAAAAGTTAGCAAAGGAAAACAAGCTAACAAAGGTGTTAAGAAGTAGCCAATGAAATAGTTGAGAGGGGATTGAATGAAGAAGAAGAAGAAGAAAAAGAAGAAGAAGAAGAAGAAGAAGAAGGAAGAGGAGGAGGAAGAAGAAGGAGAGGAGGAGGGAGAGGAAGAAGAGGGGAGGAGGAGAAAGAGAGGAAGAAGTTTGGCCTCTGAAGAAGTTGAGATGCTTCAACCATAAAAAGAAGGTAATGAATATAGGTACAAGCACAGGAAAATGAGTATACTTATTGACGGGTACATGTGCATTCCCATCTCATTGCTTCTGATTTCCCAATGACTAGGAGTTGAGAATGATGAAGATAAAGGGATGAGGGTATGGAGGAGGTTTGAGTGGGCAAATATAAAATTGTCATTTCAGAAAATAGGAAGGAGAACATAATTGGGGACTTAGAGGAAGATTGTTGGGCAATGTGAAGACCTACTTTAGATTTGTAGTTATAAATATAATGTGTAACTGATAGCCCAGTTGTGTGTTTACCCACAGCCCCAATCCACCACTCATGCATAGGCAGGGAGTGGGAGATCAGATTGGCTTATTCAGAAATAATGCTCTGCCAGCTGACAACCCCAGCGGGAGAGTAGGGCAAAGGAATTAACAATGGTTTCAAAGGAGTGACATCATGATGGAATCCAAATTGAGTACATAAAGAAGTGAGGACATGAGAGGGGATGGAAATAGAAAAAGAATTGAGGCCAATGGATTGGAGACCTCAGAGTGGCCCAAATTTGTTGATATGGGGATATTAGGATATCTGAGCAGGGAATATGTGAGTTGATAAGTGGACTGCTTGGAATTGAAATTTAAGAGAATACAGTTAATGTCAAGGTCAAAATTATATAAAGGTTTGGTTAAAGTGGAGAGGAGAAAAAGATCATTGTAAAAAATTATTGCAAGAAAGTAGATTAAGGGCTAGACCAAAATGTTGGTAGGGTTATCCACCTGGATATTGAAGCCACCAAAAGTGGTGACAGGAGTAAAGGAGAAAAGAATATGATCCAGTTAACTTTAATGAATGAGAAGGAGTAACTATGAGTCAATAAGTGATTGCAATGAAGAGAGGTGGAGGGGGGTACAATGTAATGGTATGATCTTCAAGGGAGTTGGGGTCTTTGAAGAAGAATTAAGAAGAGATGATTCTGGTCTGCCTGGGTGGTTCTGCCTTCAGCTCATGTCATGATCCTAGGGTCCTGAGATCAAGCCTGGAGTTGGGCTCCCCACTAAGAGGGGAATCTGCTTCTCCCTCTCCCTCTGCTCCTCCCCCTGCTTGTGCTTACTCTCTCACTTAAATAAATAAATAAAACCTGAAGAAGAAGAAGAAGAAGAAGAAGAAGAAGAAGAAGAAGAAGAAGAAGAAGAAGAAGAAGAAGAAGAAGAAGAAGAAGAAGAAGAAGAAATGATTCAGAAGCAGCAAAAGGGAGCAAAGTCTAGAAGAACAGATTTCCATCAAGATGGCTGGGAAACGGTGTTTTCAGGAAACATTCGACTCTCAGGGCTAAGAAGATGAAGGGAGTGTTTAGAGAAGAGGCTGAGGACATGGGGACACTTGTCAATGACAAGAGGTTCCACAAGGCCCAGGATTTTTAGAGGGGGAGATATGAAATTGGGTCAGTTTAAGAAATTTCTGAGAAAAGGGGATAATAATAATTCCTACCAGATAGGCTGATTGTGAGCCTTAAATGAGGTAATGCATGCCAATCATTTTGCACAGTGTCTGGCCAGAATAAGTGCCCTCTGAGCATCAGCCTTAACTATTATCATCATAACCAGTGAGTAACAGGATCAGGACTTGAACCCAGGCCTTCTCCTTCCAACTTCATGTCTCCACTACCCACACCAGCAGTGTGACAGCACAGATGTCTCTGACTGACGTAAGGTACTTTACAGAATCAGCAGTGCGAGTTTCTTCATCTCACCAGCCTCTCTAGGCCTTTCTGTACCTATAGGAAACAGTGCTGCCTAATAGAAACTGCCGTGATGATTACAATTAAACCTAAAGTCAACAATTCACCAGTTACTCGTTGATAGCTTGTTTGATTTTAATATTCTCTTCCATGGGGTGGAAGTTAAGCATATCTTAGTGTAATTGTCTATTTGTACAGGGCTGCAATCTGTTTCAAACCGTACCCATTTGTTTAATTGCTTTTAAAAATTTAGAACTATAACTACTCCACTGTTTACCTGAGATCTGGAGATAGGCATCTCCAGGAAATGCACTAGCTTCTTAGATACATCACCTTACTATTGTTTTAAATGATGGGAAATTTCCTAAATGAGATTTTCCTCAACTCATGTTGTTTGTTCTTTAAGACGGAGATAGAGCTTGCATTTCAGTAGCATTTTGTGGAAAATAGGTATTTCAAATTATATGTCTACAAACAAACATACATTTTTCACAGCATATCTCCCAAGGAGCAGGAAATTACACATAGTTGTGACTGTCAAAATAATTTCAATAAAGGGACGTCTGGGTGGCTCAGGGGTTGAGCGTCTGCCTTTGTTTGACTCAGGGCATGATCCCGGGATCCCAGGATCAAGTCCCCCATCAGGCACTCTGCAAGAAGCCTGCTTCTCCTCCCTCTTCCTATGTCTCTGCCTCTCTCTCTGTGTGTCTCTCATGAATAAATAAATAGAATCTTAAAAATAAATAAAATAATTTCAATAAAAACAATGATGAAAATAGTAACAATTTTTATTTATGGAGTATATCCTGTATTCCATGCACTGTGCTAATCCCATTATGTATTTTTAAAGATTTTATTTATTTATTTGAGGAAAAGAGTGTGTGGGGGTGGGAGGAGCAGAGGGAGAGTGACAGACTCCACAATGAGTATGGAGCCTGATGGGGGGCCTGATCTCAAGACCTTGACATCATGGCCTGAGGCGAAATTAAGAGTCAGATGCTTAATGGACTAATACACTCTGGTGCTCCTTAGGATACATAGCTCAGGGGCAAGGAGGCCCCAAAATGCAGAATAAAAAAATGCTCAAGCCAAAAAAAAAAAAAAAGAAAAGAAAAGAAAAGAAAAAAGAATACATAGCTCTATTTAATCCTGAAAACAACCCTGAAAGCATCTCCATTTCTTCAGTGGAGTTTGAAGAGGTTAAATAACTCATCCAAAGTCACAATCATGCAATCAGGATTGGGCACAAAATGGGTCACTTAGAAAGTACAGTCACGGATTACAAATCACTCTCCTTCAAACAACTGTGACAGGTTGTCTGCATTTAGTCGTATTTTTCAGTGTGGTCACAGATACCATATCAGCATCACTGGGAAACTTAAAAAAATGTAAATTTGATTCTATTGAAATTCTGGGTGAGGCCCAGCACTCTGAGTTTTAACAAGCTCTCCAGGTGCTGTGAGAGCTTCCTGAAGCTAGACTGAGAGATGCAGATAGCATTGAGGAAAGTTGTAAAGGATGGTGGGAGACAAAGCCTTTTCAGCGTTCTGACTTTGTCTCCTGAGGGCTTTCTACTGTAACTTCACCTGCATAAGGGACTGTGTAGAAACAGCCCAGTGAGTTTCTTTGGGTTTCACTAGCTTCTCTATGCTTTTCTGTCCCTAGAAGAAACAGTGCTGCCCACTAGAAATTGTCATCACAACTATAATTAAAGCCAAAGTCAACAATTCACCAGTTACTGAAGGCTAGTTTGCTTTTAATATTCTCTCCTGAAGAAGGGCTGGGGAGGAGTTGTTCTGAGCTGTGTTTGTCCACCTGTACCAAGAGCCTGAGCTGTCAGAGCCTTGGGGCAGAAGATTCTTTTCTGCACCAAGCACCAGCTAACTCAATTAATTGTCATGGTCAGAGGCAGTTGCAGCCCAGAAAAATTCAATTTGAGGCTAGGAGTACAGCTTGGAGACTTGCTTAGAATTGTCCCCTAAAAAAAAAAAAAATTAGATTTAATGCTTTTCATTGCATGCTGAGCCATATCAGGTCCTTATCAGCTTCCCCTCTGGCCGCATAAGCCTCTTCTCTCAATAGTGACTGAATGGCTCATAGCCTTCTCTGTCCTCTTTCCTCAGGCTTCCTGGGAAGGGCCAGAGCCTTCTCTCTAAACTCAAATGAGTCACAAGGACATCTCTCCATAAAGCAGAGGAGACTGGAGGACTTTTTCTCAGGATAACATACTCCATAAGCACCTTGTTAGAGGTTAAAAAAAAAAAGGATAGCAAAAGGGCAATCTAGGAAAAGAGTGGTTGAAGAGAGAAAGGCATGGATGGTAATGGTGGTACATATTAATATTCTACAGGTGCAAAGCATTTCCACATATCATGCCATTTATTTCCTCAAATTACCTTTTGAACTAGATAGTATTCTGATGTCCCTTTCAGAGATAAGAAAATTGATCCTTAGAAAATTGAACTATATCTGAAATTAATGATGTACTATATGTTGGCTAATTGAATTCAAATTTTAAAAATCCTTGAAAAAAAAAGAAAATTGAAATGGCTGCACAAATTTGTATGGCCAATGGAGCTGAAATGAAAACCTAGGTATTTTGACTAAAAATTTATTGATCATTCTACCACATAGTGAGGTCTGTTGCCATTCAATAGCTGCTCTCAACCCCTTCCACCCTGCCTTTCTTGGGCTGCTTCTTGGAGGTATTACCTGCCCACTCAGGTTTGATTTACAGGTGTGGACAGAGAAGATAATTCCACAAAGGAAGCCCAATGTGCTTCCGTGACTCCAAAGACCCAGGTCCCACAGAGCTTCTCAATTACTTGAGAAAGGGCTCATGGTACACACCTCCATCCACGCCCAAGTTGGGGAACATGGTCACTTACCTAACTGCCATTCGGGTGAGCACATGGTCTGCATCATCCAGATGGGCAGTGTGGGCTCCAGTATGGCCACTCCCATGTTAGCAAAGCAAAGGGAGCCTAGAGGGACAGGTCTGTGAGCCATCAGGGCTACCCAGAAGCCCAGACTCTCCCAGCTTACCTGCCCAGAAGCCCAGACTCTCCCAGCTTACCTGCAGCCACCAAGATATAAGGATCTTTGAGAAGTGTAAGGAGAGGAGTCCCCCTGGCATTCTGAGAACATGGACAACAAAAAAACTTCCATTTGTACAGTTTACATCTCTCCTATTGTCAAAGAATGTGAGAATATGCAGACAGGACCTTAGAGACTATATCAACTCCTTTACTGAAGAGACCAGGCACCCAAATCAAAGGAGATAAAGTGACTTGCCCAATGTCACAGAGTCACCGGGCAGTGCACCTCCTGTGTTCAAGGCAAACACTGTGGTAGTCATAAAGAGCAGGACAACATATTCCAGACATGCTTCATGCTTTCAAATGATCATCAACCAGATGAGAGTAGATTGTCAGCAAGGCCAGCAACGGACGATGGCTATCTGGATTCCCAGTCTTGGGTCTCGCCACTAGATCTTGCTGGCACTAAACTTTGCCCTTGGAGAACCACAGGTAGAGAGCTGAATCCCAAAGGTGAGCACAGAGGTATTAACTCAGAAGTCTCCTCAAGCATTCTAAAGGCTTTATTCTGACCATTTTGAGCTATATTGGCAAGTCTAGCAGAACATCTAGATTAGAAGGTAAGCCTAAATGTTCAGTTCTCATTTCCCTCTCCCCTCAGAAAATCTTTATTCCAGTTAAACTCAATCACTTTGCCTTCTTCCCATGCATTCCAGCAGGTTATTTTTGCCTAAACTATGTTCATGGTTAATTTTGCCTAAACTACCTTCTTTCTCTCTACAGGTCCAACTCCTACCCATTCTTCAAAGTCAGCCTTAAATGGCTCCTTCTTTTCCACTGTATTCCCTGACTCAGTAGCTGAAACTTTTCCCTCTTTCAAACTTCCTGAGGACTGTACTCTAATCTGTGGTGCTAACTACATTCTATCTGGCAATAGATTTAATAGTTTTGATATGATTACCCTCTCTGCATACTCACAGGGGTGGATTAAAATATTCAGAAATATTCAAATTAAATATATAATTCAAAATAAAGAGATAGATCTAAATTACAAAATACAAATAAAGAAGTCCAATTAGCCCTTTGGCCCAACAATTCCACTTCTAGGAATTTATTCTATAGATTACCTCCAATGTTATTAAAAAAATGCATATACTTAAGGTTATTGCAGCACTATTTGTAACTGCAAAAAACTGGAAACTACCTAAATGTTCAAACATAGAGGATTAAATAAAATATGGTATGGACACAGTGGTGTTTCATAGAGCCAGAAAAGTAACAATTGAATTTTTTGAATATGTAGAACACTACCATCTAAGTCAAAACTATTCAGAAAGATATTAAAGGGAAATCATTTCTCCTCTCACAACACTTTTAGTACCAAATGTGGGGGGTTTTCCACCAAGAAATTCTTCAGTTCTCTGTGGGCACCGAGTGTCCTATAATATAATTCAATTCTGACACTGATTATTTAGAGTTAGCACAGACCCCACAGGTTAAGGGCTCAGTCCCCCAAGGCTGCTCCCCTTCCAGATCCTAACTGCAAATAATGGGTTCCCAGGTTACCCAGACTTCTGTCTGACTTGGCTGTAAAAACAAGGTTTTTAGATCAAACTTTCCCTTGTTTTCTGTATTTCCTTATCTTTCATTCTTTGTGGTTTGATATGGATTTCCCAGAGCCATCTTTGGCTTAGAGTCAGACAAATACCAACTCTGACATTTAACCATGATAGAATGATAGTCTATAAACATATTCTTGGGGGAGAGATTATCTAAACATCCTCTAAGGTCTTCTCTAGCTCTGAGGAATTATGACTATGAACATACAGGTCCCACTGTCATTGTCTCCTGGTTCTGAGTTTATATGTATACATTTTGTAATGTTTCCTTGGTTCTTCAAAAGGCCCTTCCTCCATCTTTGTCCAACATCAAGCCAGACTCCCCCATCATCCCTGATGCTACCCTAAATATGACACTATCTGGGATTCCAAGTATGTTTTTACTTTCCTTGACTCCATTCTCTTCACCTTTCTTCTTATGCTTTGACAGGGATAATCAAGAAGTCTTAGTACATAGTCATTCTATACATTTTTTGACAATGGAGCTTTGTGTCTACTTACCTCAGGAGAGACTTTGGAAGGCTGTAGGATACACAGCTGGAGTGCTAAGAAAGAAAATGGGAGAGAAAGAGACAGCTTAGTTTGTCTACTGATTAGTTGGAGGCTCCAATAACAGGCACATTGATATCACCTTATCATGCACATGTCTAACTCCCCGAGTTTCTTCCTTCTTTCCCAGAATGAGGCAGTCCTCGATCTTTTGAGCATGTCAAGACACATGTCAAGATACTCAGCATAGTGCATTCCCAACCTGACTTCAGCTATCATTTGTCTGGTGACCTATTTTTTTTTAAGATTTTATTTATTTATTCATGAGAGACACAAAGAGAGAGAGGCAGAGACATAGGCAGAGGGAGAAGCAGGCTCCACGCAGGAAGCCCAATGTGAGACTCGATCCTGGGACTCTGGGATCATGCCGCAAGCCAAAGGCAGACGCTCAACCACTAAGCCACCCAGGTGTCCCTGTCTGGTGACCTCTTATGGTGACTTACCTCCATCCAGTAGTGCTAGGAAAGCCAATATGAGGAAAGGTGAAGACCTCCCAACAAACACATACATCACACTTCCAAAAGGAGCTCCCACTGGAAAAGCAAAACAGGTACAGATTTCAGGAGTAAGCACAAATTCCTAATTTGTGTGACTTGTCACCATTTACCCAATGAACTTCCACATGAGGTTCTGAGGATTCAGAAATGAAGAAGACCTGGTTCCCCGTAGCTCACTTTCTAGTAGAGAAAATGCATGTGGTAGGATGCAAATAATTAGACCACGGTAAAAAGTAGAGTTCAACAATAAAGGTTCAACTTGCAAAGTACTGTGCAGATTACAGTGCAATGAGTTCAGATGGCCACAAGGACTTTGTCAAGTGGATACGACAGGTAGAGAAGAAGTATAAGTGAAGAGCATTGAGGAATCATAAAAGAGAGTGTGGTTGCAATATGGAGGCTCCTCAAAAAGTAAAAAATACAGCTACCTTACAACCCAGCAATTGCACTACTAGGTGTTTATCCAAAGGATACAAGAATAGTGATTCTGAGGGGCACATGCACCCTAATGTTTACAGCAGCAATGTCCACAACAGCCAAGCTATGGAAAGAGCCCAGATGTCCAATGACAGATGAATGGACAAAGGATATATATATATATATATATATATATATATATAGTCATTTGCAATGACATGGATGGAACTAGAGGATATTATGCTAAGCAAAATAAGTCAGCCAGAGAAGGACAAATAAATATGATTTCACTCATATGTGGAATTTAAGAAACAAAACAGATGGACATAGTGGAAGGGAAAGAAAAATAAAATAAGAGGAAAACAGAGGGGGAGGCAAACCATAAGAGCCTCTTAGCTATAGGGAACAAACTGAGGGTTGCTGGAGGGGAGGTTGGGGGGAGATGGGGTAACTGGGTGAGGGGCATTAGGAAGGGCACTTGAAGTAATGAGCACTGGGTGTTGTATGCAACTGATGAATCAATGAATTCTGAAACTCTGAAACTAATAATACAGTATATGTTAATTAAATTGCATTTAAATAAAAAAAATATAAGAGAGAGTGTGGTTGGATAACAAACAGAAGAAAATCAGGATTCGGTGTTCAGTCACTGAATATAAGTATTTGGGAGAGGGAGAGTAGAGGTGGGGAATGTTGAGGCCAAATAGTCAAGGGCCCTGTATATCTAGATAAGGCATCTATTTGGCTTTGTGTGGGCAATGGAGAAACATGTCTTTTAGCAAGAGAGAAATACCACCAGCTCTGGGCATAGGAAGCTTCTTCTGGTGGCACCTTGAAGGAAGGAGAGAAGGCACAAGAGATCAGGCAGTAGGCTGGTTCCAACTGAGATGTGATGAGGAGCCAACCTTGAGGAAGTGGCTGTAGAGAATATAATGGGTTTGCCAATCTGGGAGTGAGAAGTGATAAAGGAGACAAGGACATACCAAAGTTTTAGCTTGGGTGTTTGGGAAAATGGATATTAACAAAGAGCAGGAATTTTGTTCCCTCTTCTCCCATGGTTGTGGTGGGGGTGGGTGGGTGGGTATGGACTGGGAAAGAGACCTTTGGTGTTTTCTCCTCCACTAGCTTGTGGAGCCCCTAGAGGGAAGGAACCATGTGTGAGGCTTTTTATCTATATCCCCTGTGTGCTAACATTGTCCTTGGCATATAATAAGTGCTCCACAAAATGTTACTTTTTGGTATAGTCAATCAATATTTATGAGGGATGAACTTCAAAGAATGTGTTATGGTTTAGAGCTTGGGGTTTGAGTCCAGAAAATCTGAGTCTACATCCTGGCTCTGACATTTTTTGGCTCTGTAACCTTAGATGGCTATTTAACCTTTTTAGTCATCATCTCTGTAATAGAGACAATCATTCCTCCTTCATAGTGATTTGAGGATTAAAAAAGATTATATCAGCAATGTATTTAGCATAAAACCTGACAAAGCACTCCTCTCATTTTGAAAGCACTGACCATGTGTGGAAGTAGAGGTGAGACAGTGGCTGCTAATATGGGGCTATCTGCTCACTGGAATAGACTAGGTTTCTTCCGTTCCCAGGACCTCATGGGCTATTTGCTTCTTAAGGGGAAAGAGATTTTTTCCTTTCCTGGAAAAAAATTTCAGAAGGACTCAAAACATGATTGGACAGAAAAGGAAAGAAAATACTGCCTTCCACGAACCTTAGGGACACTTGCCTCCTGGAGCCATCTTCGAAGAATATGTAGTATCCTACCCTCTGAACCTAGATTTGCAGCCAGGTGCCACTTACCCAGCACTCCCAAAGCCAGACCCCCCAAGGCGATTCCCATGGCACGCCCTCTCTCATAGTCATCAGTGTAGACACTTGCCAGCATCCCAAGACCTGAAAGGAGAGTATGGAGTTAGCATACAGGAGACCTCTGTCTGCCTCTCTCACTGAATCCTTGATCTGCTAGTCCTTAGTCCACGATCCCTATTATGTCTTCAGGGATCATCTTAGATACAGTTGCAGTTTGAAGGATTTTGTAAAACTTAACCCATAGTATTTTAGAAATACTGGACCCCCCAACACCCATATTTTTTTAAAAGATTTATTTTTATTTATTTATTTATTATTTATTTATTTATTTATTTATTCATGAGAGACACAGAGAGAGGCAGAGACACAGGCAGAGGGAGAAGCAGGCTCCATGCAAGGAGCCCGAAGTGGGACTCGATCCCGGGTCTCCAGGATCACGCCCTGGGCCAAAGGTGGCGCTAAACCACTGAGCCACCCGGGCTGCCCCCCCAACACCCGTATTGCTCACTCCTGTTAGCAATATTGTTGGAACTGCAAAAGTCCTTGGCAAGGGTAATACAAAATACCGCTGTCCATTGTTATAGCATTTCATTGTATTTCCTAGCACATTTCCCTGAATGAATGGATATGGAGTAAGTCAAAGGAAATTCTATAAACACAGAACACTATTCTATTCAATGGAGGTGACCAATGAAGAAGAAAGTACAGAAGACATGTAGAAGACAGTATGGGCTGGGCTCTCATGTCATTTACTCATGTGTAAAATGGTATAGAATAGCTACTTTTATAGGATTACATTAAATATTGTATTTGATGATACTTTGCAAAATGTGATAGTGTTACTGGTAGTATTAGCATTATTCTTCTTATAAAATGTTAAGGAGGAGGAAGAGAAAAGGTCATAGAAGGGCATTAAATAAAAGCTGGGCTTACTTTTTGGTTTTACCTTGGGCTTGCCTTGACCTTAGCTGGCTGTATCTAAATATTATCAGAGGAAGTTATGTCAGGGTTAGGGATTTAGAGCACAGATGACAACTCTATAATTATCTTGTTTTTGAATCATAATTTCTGCCTACCAGAATACTTTCCTATCTATTCATACAAATCTTAGAGGGTAGTAAGATATGGTAAGAGATGTGCGTGTGCAAGTGTGTGTGTGTGTGTGTGTGTGTGTGTGTGTGTGCGCGCGCGCGCAAGATGTCAGCATTACCTGCAACAGATGAAAATGAGGATCCAATGCCTTGAAGGGTTCGGGCCACAAACAGTAGGGTATAGGTACCAGAAAAAGCAAACACTGTGTATAGAGAACAGTAAGAATGCTCCGGTTAGCAAACTGTCTTTATTCCCTTTCCACCAGAAAATATGCCCATGATATTGTAGATATGAGCCACCATACATATGTTTTAATAAAGCATGATCACTGCCTCCTGTTTTTGGAGTTGTCTTTCTAATCTCCCACACCTTCATCAGGATTGCATTTTAATTGACGTGAAGACAGAGAAACCACAGAAGTATAAGCCAATTCATCACTTCCAGTGGATGGAAGTCTGGATTTTCACATTTCCTGCCCAAAGCTCACAACATCCTGTCCACTGGAATCATGGCTGTCTGAAAAGTACAATGGCCTTAGACCCTACTTCTCAATTCTTCATATTCAACACTCCGATTTGACCTTTGCCATTGTTGGGCTTCATTGGGTCATCGACAGTGAGGGAACAAAAACTATACGTAATTGAAGGACCATAGGCATTGGGTAGAAAACAGTATCTTGAGATCCAATCAGATATTTCCTCTTATCTTATACTGGAAAATATTTTAGCTAAATCAGATCAGTGAGTATGTAGCAAGTAATATCAAACATGGAACTATACTAGAAGATGTGAAATAAAGAGAATATTCAGTTCATGCTCTTTAAGAGGTTCCATCTACTCAAGACTAGCATACACAAGACTAAGTACCAAACAGGAATATGTTATCAAAAACTAAATTACAGGGCATTGGTGGTAAGCTTGGTAAATCCAGACATGTCTCATCTCCATTTCAGGACAATGCCCTCGAAAGAAAGAAGAATTCCTCCCAAAGTATCTGAATCAGCAGAATTTGAATCCCTTTGCCCTTTCATTACAGATGTATTTGGTTGTTTGATGTCTTATAATCTTCTCCCATTACTTCCTGACATGATCACACTGTCTCCCAAACATGCACATGCTTGGTCTCTCTCTGCTGAGCTTCCAGTGCTTTCTCCTAGGACTTCTGATTTCCAGTCTGTTCAAGGTTAGCTATTCCTATGTCCTTTTTTTTTTAATGTCTTTTAAATATTTTATTTATTTATTTGACAGAGAGGGGGAGAGAACACAAGCAGAGGGAGCAGTAGGCAGAGGGACAAGCAGATTCCTGCCTGAGCAGGGACCCCAACCCAGGACTTGATCTCAGGACCCTGGGAACATGGCCTGAGGCAAATATAGTTGCTTAACTGACTGAGCCACCTAGGTGCCCCTATTTCTATGTCCTTTGAGAATAGTGTGATCAACTATCTCAGTTTGCCAAGGACTTTGCATTCTGGGAAGTCCCTGAATTCCAAAGTAGGATGGCTGGTCACCCTATTTAGGAAAACCAAAACAATTTCTTTTTCACTTTACCCCCTAACATTGGTTATCATTTTGCTCTTAATTACATTACTTATGGCTCTCAGCTGGGGGCCCTTAAGGGTAGTAATGGACATCAGCAACATCAGCAAAAAACTTTTTTTTTTGCACATTTTCTCCAGTAAACATTTATTAATTGATGAGAAGTATTTCTACAACACTTGAGACTCCGCTCAAATGCCATGTCCACTCAGAAAACTTCTCTAGACTTTCCAGCTCTTATTCCACCCCACAGATCTCAAGACTTGTGTGGGTCTCTCATAACAAGCACTTCGTGGTCTTCAACCCTGCATCTCCCCCCAGCTCCACAGGGCCCACCGTGGGGCCCCTAGATGAAGAATCCAGTCCAGGAAGTGGGCATGCAGAACAAAAAAGAGTACACTCACCTATTTTTCTTTTTTTAAATATTTAATTTATTTATTCATTAGACACACACACACACACACACACACACACACAGAGGCAGAGACACAGGCAGAGGGAGAAGCAGGCTCCATGCAGGGAGCCCGATGTGGGACTCAATCCCAGGTCTCCAGGATCACGCCCTGGGCTGAAGGCGGTGCTAAACGGCTGAGCTACCGGGCTGCCCCTTTTTAGTATTTTAAAAATCTTAAAGACATGCCACATAAGATTCCCTAAAGACCAAACATTTGTTTGAATTAGGCCAACTCAGTATAGTGACACTGGTTATGGTGCAGAAATAATGTAATTGCATAGACTTAAGCAAGGACTTCAAGCTAAAGAGTTTGGGATACTCTAGCATTAACTTATTTTGCAGGGTGTTTGTTATATCTCCCCAGGCAAGTATCATAAACTCCCAGGCTGGAACCAAGTCATTTCATTCTTTATCTTTCCCCAGTGACTTTTGCCATCAAGATGTATGCGTGCCTCATAAAGTTTTTTAGAGAGAATTCGAGTCTCTTTGATGAAACGGAGAATCCTATTAGTTTTTAATTTACTGTTTGGCATGGGCTGAGATTTTAGAATTTCAGTGAGCATTTCTAACTTGAATTGCCTCATTTTCTTTGATTTACCTAGAATTTTCACAAGTAAGCTGCAGTTCTCAAAACTTTACACATCAAGCTTCTGCTCTTTCCAGCCCTGAATGCAATGGATTCCTGTTAAGCATTAGTTGATAAGAGTCAAAGCTGTACACTGAAAGGGAAGAAAACTTGAGGAGGAGGAATAGAAAAAGCAGAAACGTAACGAAAAGATGATAAGAAAAGCAGGAGGTATGTTATTGGGAGCAGAGTCAGCAGAGGCATCAGGGAGCCACTAATGGCTCCAGATGCGGCCTTCTCTTTCAATTAACCTCTAACCCCCCCACATCATTCCTTCTTATTTTAATTCTCAGGGTCAATTTCCAAACAATATGTTTACTTACTGTTGTTATTCCATCTGCATTTTATTAGGACATTTATCTGATACTGGATAGACTGTCTTTCTCTTTCTTATTTGTTTTTTTTTTTTTTTTTTTTTTAGCAAATTTATTTCTCTGAGCTATAACCTTTAATGTCCTTACTTGAAGGCAGTAGACTTTTTGGTATTACCCAGTTGCTATTATCCAATTTAGATTCTTTGTTGGTGGCTCTTTACCTCTGTGTATCAAAATAATAAAACTTCTTCCCAAAGATGGGATGTTTGTACTAACCTCATTCAAGGGACTACTGACACACACACACACACACACACACACACACACGCACGCACAGAGTCATATCTATTAAGACAGCTTTTACAATTTTCCCCAGCTGAAGGAAGTGAAATAGCTGTTCTTCTACAGCAGAATATACAAATTCCAACTAGACTGATTTGCCATTAGTGTTCTAAGGCCCATATCCCAAACTGCAAACCATTTAAATCAGTGGCATAGGCCATTTAGTCAAATGTCTAATTAGCTAATTTGACCCTACTCTCTTCACTGTAGTGCATGTGATAAAATCAAAGGTAATCAGTGAGAGAAATAAAAGAGGAAGCAAATTACTTACTAACTGTGGAGAGAAAGAGGATAACAAAGCCAGCAAACATGGGGATATGATATCCAATCCTAAAAGAGAATTAAAAAGAAAAACGATACACTCCCAATAGGCATGCATATACTGAGACTATACTTTTTCATGTAATTCGGAGCATAAATGCAGTTATTTGAGTACATAATAAAATATGTTTCTGAATGCAAGTGTGCAGATGGGATATGACAACATTAATGTGTATAAGTGAATAAGCAAACATGCATATTTACCCATAGACCAGGGTCAAAATCCTCATTTTCAGAAAGGATGGCCTAGTCAGAGTGTATATCCCTTTGAAACATCAGGATAATCTCAAACACTGCTAATAAGCCATTGCTCTAGATTGCAGTAGTCCTGCCTTCAAGCCATGTTCCAGAGTACTGAAATAACATCAACAGTGTACTTCTGATCACTGTTTTTTTTTTTTTTGGTGGGGTGGGGGATCCTCAATAGTCATTATATTACCAAGAAAATTTGAAGCCCATGGCATTTCATCAATATCATGTTATCTTTTGGGCAGCCAGCTTTCCAAACAGCTGATTTCCCTGGAGACAATGAGTTTTCCCTTATAACTACCTTTATGATACCTTAGCCCATCATTTCTTATTCCTGAGCCAGTATCATAGAGAGTATTGCACCCATTGAAATACCTGTTGGTGAGAGGTCCCACAAACGGGTTGACCAGAAGTTGCATCAGAGCCTTTGAAGCAAACAGAACACCAACCCGTACGTTCTCTTCCTCCAAAAACTCTGTGCCTTGGAAGCAGTTGTTTTGTTGTACTGGGATGGCTGCAGTGACTGGAGGGGGGATGGTGCCAGAATTGTCGTCTGTCCATGTTGTGCCACTGGGTGCACTTTCTTCAACAGTCATGGTGTTGTTATCAAAGAAGAAGATGGTGGAAAAGGCAGAAGTAAGGACATGCTGAGAAATTGTGGTGGGGCCAAGGTACAGAGGAGTGTTGATTTCTTTGAACTCTGTGGCGTATAGGAAGTTGGGTATGATGGGCACTGAAAATCAAGAAGAACAAGTGATAAGAACTAAGGATACTTTTTAACACTAATTGGTTCAGGGGGATTACTATGAGCTTTATATTCATGCTCAAGGAAAGTGTCTAAGTGATATGATTTGAAGTCTATTAAAAGACTGTGCCAATATATTGGTTAAGTTGAATTTAAATAAAAAAAAAAAGATTGCCCAAATTCCAACCTGTATACAATTGATCCTCATTCTCCAAAATTCTGTATTGGCCAGTCAGCTACTTGCTAACATTTAGTTGTAATCACAAATCAATACTCACAGAGTTTTCATAATTTTTCTTAGACACACATACAGAATAGGGGAAATTTCAAGTCATCAGATGTTTACTTCCACAGCCGAGGGCAAAGAAGGTAGGCTCTGTCTTACTGTTTCAGCTCTAATACAGGGATGACAGCATGAAAATGGTAGAAGCAAGAAAGTATGGTGCAAGAAGCGCCAGCCCTGGGGTCAGTTGGACAGGACTTGAACACCAACCTGGCACCTAAGGCAAGTCACATAACATTTCTGAACCTCATTTTCTATTTTGAGTTTTCTAAGCATAAAAATAGAAATTCTCAAGTCCATTTACTGCTGAGTTTTAGCAAAGTGTTTGTTGCCTGCTGGGGCCCAGAGCAAATTAACCCAAATTAATTACAATTTATTAATTATGAATTGATACAAACAAACATACCCACTACAGTTAGCAGCATGTTGTCCAGCAGCAGAGCAACAAACACGACCACCAGTACCAGCTTCCGTGACTTTCTCCCCTCCTTTAGCAAGCGCTGAGGAGTGTCCAAAAACATCCTGAGCATGGTGACAGCTGGGGTGGGGGCGTCTTCTCCAGTTTCTTACGAAAGGTCCTGTTACAGCTGTAGGTCTTCTGCAGCCTTTATAGAAGAAAGGAGAAATCCTGCTGGGACAAAAGAAACTCACTATTAGAGTGAAAGGTACAAGTAGTTGCAAATACTAGGATGGTGTTGAACCATTTCTATGCCTGTGTCTCTGCTCACTTCTTATACATCTCAATAATTCCACCTGGTTCCGCCTTCTAAGAAAGCACCGCTTACCAGCTTTTTGTATCTGGAATTCTAAGCAGATTCTAGCCCTGTTCACCTAGCTCTGTGTCTCAAATGCCTATCATTTCAATGGTTTATGTAGATATCTGAGGCCTACTTGTATTATTACTTGTTCAAGCTTTCCTCTAAATCCATTCTTTATAAAAACCAAAATACTGTTGTTTTAAAAAATAAATGTGCCATACCAAACAAATTATGATTTGTGTGCATGCATCAACCCAAAATTATAGCCTATATGGTCTGTATCACCCCCAAACATGTCATGTGCCACAAGTGTTACTTGTGCTGCCCACAGAGAAACTTTGGGCTAGACCAACACTGACAGTTCACAGATGAGAAATCTGAGACTCAGAATGCTAGAAGAGCTGTTTCATACAATTAGTATCAGACTGGAATGAGACTCCAAGCTTTTTAACTTGCAGGGTTATGTTCCACCACCTTCTCTTGTTCCGTGGTACTTAAAACACTTCTCTGTTGTCTGAAACATAAATCCCTGCTCAGGAAGGTGTGTTACTGTGTGTAAATGAAATACTATCATGATTAGTTCTCTACTTAGGATTTCATGTCATTAGTCAGCATTAAGTCACAGTATTTTGTGAAACTTCAGGTAATGGGGATGCCTGGGTGGCTCAGCCATTGAGTGTTTGCCTTCGGCTCAGGGCATGATCCCGGGTCCAGGGGTCAAGCCCCGGCACATCAGGCTCCCTGTGAGGAGCCTGCTTCTCCTTCTGTCTGTGTCTCTGCCTTTCTTGTGTCTCTCATGAATTAATACATAAGGTCTTTTAAAAAAAAATTTCAGGTAATAGTTTCAGGGAAGACTATTTCTGTTTTGGCTTCTATTGTGGTATCAACAATACTAATCATATACATTTTAAAATATACTACTGTCATGAAATGCATAGGTTCTAAAATTTATGTAACCTCTGATTCAATAACTCTACTTCTAAGAACATATCTTAAGGAAAAGTTCAGAAATATGGCCAAAGATTTATGTTTAAAATTATGAATTGCTGAATTATTTATATTAGTGAAAAAAAGCAAACATTTTAGTAGTGGAATATAAACAGCTCTTAAAATCAATTTTTAAAAATAATTTCAATGTCTTAGAAATACCCAATAAAATATTAAGGTAAAAATGGGTATTAAACTGTTTTTGCAGCTTGACCTCAATCATATAAAAAAAATTATGTGTATACTTTAAAAGGCTAAAAAAATATACACTCAAGTATCAGCTATTATAATCACTGGCTTAAATTATTTTCTTTTTGCTTTTCTGTAATTTCTAAATATTCTTTAATTAACTATTTTAATACAAGTAGTAAATAATTTTAAATGATTATCACTGGAGTTCAATAGTGAGCCTTGTTGGGAGTGTCCTAAGCCCTGAGTTACTCTGTTCTATTCTAAGACCAGAGCTAGGAGAGAAACATCATCCACACTACAGTTGTAAGTGACTAAGTGGTCCCAACCAAACCAAAATCCCAGATAAGTTTTAACCAGAAAAATGCATGCAGTGATTTCAGATCTTTTAATTCTCTATAAAAATAAGGTGTTTCTAAATGCAAATTTACCTCAGATACATAAGGAAGAAAATAAGAGATGAAGAAAAAAGGCAATAGACAACTAGAAGATGTAAAATGGATAAGTACGATAAAGACAGATCAAAAAACCACAACCAAACGAAACCAAACCAAACCAAGAATTTGCCAACCAAACTACCGTAGAGTCAAAATTCTCTGTTGAGAGACACAAATTATAAGGAAGGATTAAATGTGTCCAGGGAAAGAAACATCTTACCTTAGAGCCCATCTTGTGTGAGGTACTCAGATATTGGCAGCTGTTAGCGGTATAGCAGGGACTCTGTTCTCTGAGTGGTTGTGCTGATGGATTTATTGCCACCTGTTATCTGAGGATGTCATGTGTGCCCTTTGTCCACAATGATTTAATTGGAACTTCCAACAGGTTTCATTCAGAGCCTTAGTTCCCTGCGTCAGAGGCAGGAAAGCAGGACTGGAGAGGATAAAGAGAGGGAGAAATTATTCTAACCAAAGATGGACTGGGCTGGGCTGTTTTTCATCTGTGCTTATCTATCACTGAATTCATTAACTCTTGCATAGGTCTGAATATAAACTGGAAGAGAGAATGAAGCCAGAGTACAGTTCCTATCCCTTGCTATTTAGTCGAAGAGACTCCAATGTACTCCAGTTGCTTTCCGGGAAGAAACAAATCTTAAAACATCCACCAGACCAAAAGCAAGAAAAAACAAAAACAAAAATAAATCTATGCATGTTGTTCTCAAATCATAAAAATCCAAGCTCTATGTCCTCTGTAAGGCGTAGATTGTGCTGCATCTTTGCATCTCAATGCTAGCTGATTGCCTGGAACATAGTAGCCTCCAGTAAATACTTCTTGTATGAATGACTGAATTAATGGCTACAGGAGAGAGTGTGGCTCATCGTTAGGTTCTTGGAGTACCACTACAGTTCTTTATTTTTCTGAGATTAAGAATCATTAGTGGGCAAAAAAAACCAAAACACAAACAAAAAAAAACACAAACAAAAGAATCATTAGTGGGGCAAAGGACATAAACAATTCACCAAAGAACAAGAGCAGCAGTAGAGGTTTCCAACTTATGGCCCCTCCTAATTGTTTTAAACAACTTGGAGACTTTTACTTTTGGCCAAAAAAGGAGTTTTAAAAGAAACCTAGAAAGAGAAATAAGGGGAAGAGGCAAGGAAATTAAGGGAGCATATGAGTTTCTTATTGCTGTGTAACAAATTTAATGGCCTAAAATAATACAAATTTATTATCTTAGAGATCTGGAGGTCAGAACTCCAAAATAGGTTGTATTGGCAAAAAATCAAGGTGTTGGCAGAACTGCAATTCTTCTAGAGGCTCTGGGAGAGAATCTGTTTCCTTGCCTTTTTTTTTTAGCTTCTAGAAGAGACCTGTATTTCTTGGCTTGCAGCTCCCTTCCACCTTCGAGTCAGCAGCAAGGCGCCAGCTCATTTAACACAAATTCTCTAGCTCCCTAATTCTTAGCTTCCGGTCTATTTCCTTCACTTACAAGAACTCAAGTAATTGCATTGAGCCCATCCAGATAATCCAAAATCATCTTCTCCATCTAAATATCCTGAACTTAGTCACATCCAAAAAAGGCTCTTTACCACATAAGGCAACACATTCACAGGTTCCAGGATTTGAATGTAGACATCACTGGGGGCATTTTTCTGCCTACTATAGGGAGCATAGCATACTACCCCCTCACACATGCCGTGGCCTGAGTCTTTATGAAGAGAGAGGGTTGAGGCCAAAAAATGGAGGAGACATATTTATTAAAATGTCTTTATTAGACATTTACAAGACTGCAGGCATAAGGTAGTGTCCTACAGGAAACCCAGGGGACACTTCTACAACCATGATGTCCACCCTAAGTGTGATTCTGGTACACTGAGGGCTTAGGAAAGCTACCAGCAAAGCAAAGCTATGACTAATAGTGAACACCAGCAGCAGAGGGCTTGGTTGGAGCACCTCCACAGTGAAGAAAAAACTGTTCTGAGTTTTTTTCCCAAAAAACTGGGGATGCCCCACGTAACTGGAAAGCTATGGCTTATGAAAGCTGAGGGCCTGAGAAAGCAGGTACAGGTTAAAAATCATCATACTTTGTGCACTAATAGAAACAACAGCAATAATAATAATAATAGTTATCATTTTTTGAGCATCTATTATGTAAGGTATGTTTCTAATACATGTATATATTTGTATTTATATTAGTACTCACAGGCTAGCCAAGTCTGGGCTGATCTCACAAATGCTCATCACTGTTAATATTCAGAGTGTTATCTATTAAATAGGAATGAGCTTTTGTCTTCCTCTTGTTTAGTTTTTTAAATATTAATTCCAGTGTAGATAACATATAGTGTTATATTAGTTTCAAGTGTACAATATAGTGATTCAACAGTTCCATATAGTACTTAGTGTTCATCGAGATAAGTGTACTCTTAATCCCCTTCACCTATTTCAACCATTCCCTTACTCACCTACCCTTTGGTAGCCATCAGTTTGTTCTCTATAGTTAAGAGTCTATTTTTTTTGTTTGTCTCTTTTTTCCTCCCTTTGTTCATTTGTTTTACTTCTTAAATTCCACATATGAGTAAAGTCATATGGCATTTGTCTTTCCCTGGCTGGCTTATTTCTCTTAGCATTATACTCTCTAGATCCATTCATGTTGTTGCAAATGGCAAGATTTAATTTATTATGGCTGAATAATATTCAATTTCATTGCATATATATATACACCATCTTTTCTTTGTCTATTCATCTGTTGATGAACACTTGGGCTAAACCACTTCCATGGTTTGGCTATTGTAAATAATGCTGAAATAAACATAGGGATATATATATATATATATATATCCCTATATATAGGGGTCCATATATATAGGATTCCAGTGTCCATGTCTCCTCTTGCCATAAAGACCAAAAGAGGCTGGGCCACTCTGCTCCACCTTGGACTTCTGCAGCAGCCACTTCTCACCCCCTTCTGATGCCTGCAATGCGCCCCCACCCAAAGACGCTGGGTTGCTCCTCTTGGCTTTCCCCGTTGTGTCACAAGCCCACTTGTGGTTCTCCTCATTGGCGAATTAGTGTTTTTGAATTAGTGTTTTCATATTCTTTGGGAAAATACCCAGCAGTGCAATTACTGAATAGCAGAGTAGGTCTATTTTTAACTTTTT